GAGAGAGAGAGAGAGGGTGATCCAAGACACTATCACCTCGGTGTCCAGACAGCAGACGACAGTGACGCTTCCAATTACTTGCATATGGAGACAATTGTCATCGAAGATGTGTCCCAAAAGCTTCCTCATTAGCCTATTTCTCTCTCACAAAACCGATGTATCAATCATCATACCGGTATGTTAGTTTATCCCTTCATCAACTGTTACTTCGATCCACACAAACTCTTCCTATTTTCACCACCTGGTAATGCGGTCTGACTCTTTTGACCGATTCCTCCCCTCCGAGAATTGCAGGTCAACCACGGAAGCCGTACCAAATGCGGAATGGGGATTTCATGGCAGCATCGTCTATTATAATTTGTCTCTTCACTGCACCAGCGAACGAGACCGCAAAGAATCATCTGCTAAAAGCCAATCCTGTCACGCAGTTTACCTTTGTCGATGCATATAAAAGATTCGACCATCCGAGTGCGATGTATCCAACAGCTGACAGCGTACGAGTCTTTTGTCCGCACAAGTTAAGACACCTGCTGCAGTGGCTCCGACGTGAAATGCCGGTCGACAAACGCCCTTGTTTCTTCTAGCTGCACATGAAACACAACGATCTATAGTTTGGCGACTCAGAAAAGAATCTCCAGACTCGGTATTGCAGAGTGGAAATTATACATCAACATCTTTGCAGTGTAGAAGACATAACGGACGAACATGCAGTCGACATTGGCAAGACGCAGAAAGCTGCGCTTGAGAAGTGGCAGAGCATAATGCCTCGACAAGGAATTCTACTACTGTTTGGTCTTTGCTGACATTCATTCGGTAGACTACCATTTAGCTTGGAAATAAATGGACGATACATCTACACAGCATGAGAAGTGAGGCTGAGGCCTTTCACTGTCTGTCATACATGCCAAGCAAACTTCCCAATGAAGTTTGGCTTCGATGTTTCTCTCGGTTTCATCGAGTTACTTGCAGCACTGAGAAGAGCATATGCGGAAGGCACATATCGAGACGAGACCGAGTGGATTCAACACTTTTAATTGATGATGGGGGCAGTGATCAGCAAACATGAAAAAACTATGCTGCTACAGTTAATCAACTAAAAATTAATGAGTTCCGAAAGAAACACAGGATAGAAGCAGCCCTAGAAAAAGAAGGAAGATTAGACCTGGGATCTTCAGCAATCTTTCTGCCGCATATGCACTCAACAGAACTTCCAGTGATTGTTGCAATTCACACATGTCACGAATGTTGTCATTGGCTCATCGGCGCTTCGGGTTTGCATTTGATAGTATGTAGTCTTCCTCTGTCCACAGCGTCCGCATTTAAACTGATCAGTGGTAGCTTTAGGTGGCCCTCCTCGCTCACATTCAAATAAGGCCTTCTCTTTAATTTGCTTGTTTGCAAGTTTCCTCTTGTCGCTGGCCATCTCCTCGGGGGTCATGGCAATGAGTTTCTCAGGTTTCACTTCTCCCACAAGAACTCTCCTTCGAAGATCAGTGTTGTTCCCATCCTTCAAGTTGAACATTATGGACCTGTATTTAAGCTTTTGAGAACCATTAGAACGTCCTAGTTTCTCAAACATCACGGACTCCACCAACACAGCAGCTCGAATGGGATCACATGTATCCACTTCATCCAGGATGTTCCTCACTTCATCTCTTTCATCTTCGCTGGTCTCACAAGAAACTTTGGAGAAAGCCTCAGCTAGAAGTTCCCGAACTTTGTCTCGAACAAGATCATTGCATTTGACCATAGTTGTCAGTTTAGGAGGACCAGCTGGTACCATAGATGGTTTCTTGGTAGTAGAAGCCTGGTGATCTCCCTTGGGTATCCTCTCATCATTGACAGCAAGCACTCCAGAGTCGTTGCTGCTATTATTCTCAATCTTGTTTCTTTCTGATTTTGAAATCTCAGCTTTCATGCTCTGGTCTCTATCTTTCTTATCAAACTTGAAACTTTCTGAAGTTGAAATTCCGTCCATGATGGCTGGCCCAGACTTTGAAGTCTTGTTAACCTTGACAGTTTCTGTTCTCTCAGATTTGAAATTTTTTATGGAACTTTTATCATCAGAACTTCCATTTCTCGTGGAATTTGAAGTCTCCTGAATGACAACATTTTTCCAGAATTCTAACAAGGCGGAAGCCTCAACTTGAATCTTTGAATGACAATGCTTCGTGAGATAGCGAAGCCGTTTGCCCACCTGCGGAACAGAAAGCATGTTTAAGTCCAAGAAGGAAAAACAGCCAAATCTGACGATTTTTGCTCGGTGATGCTAAAGTGTTGGGGAAAAAAAAGAAGAAAAATGTATAAACATATCCTAAAGTGTTGGGAGAAAAAAAGCTCAGAGATTCCACAAAGAGCGTACATAAAGTGTCAACAAGCCTTGTATAAGTCTTGAAGAGGTTTTTTATAGAGGGATTGAGTGAGAGAATATAAAGAGCAGATGGGCCAATATGAGCATGTGAATGACTTAGCTTGGGCCCACTTGCTTGAAATACTTCATTATGTTTAATGTCCGCAAGCAGTAAGTATGAAGATTTCATTTGTAAAAAATACGTCTTTGATATGAGTCTCCTGACAGAACGTTTGCTTCTTGGTTGCTATATGATGAAATATAGGATAGGCAACAAAAAAAGGTCTAAACTAAGAAAACAAAAGAGAGCATAATAGCTCCGGATCAACCATATTATTATTCCCATCGGCAATGCAGATGTATAGTAGGATTAGCTACGACAATCAGTCATAAAGAACAAGATTTCTCAAGATTCATGAAATGTGTCAAATTCTTATATATGCATATAAGAATATATATATATATATATATATATATATATATGAATGATATGTGCACATGTATGTATATACATACATGTATATGTATGTGTATATATATCAAGGTTCGCAATACCGTACCGTATCGGTATTTCGATCTGGGCTCGGTACCGAGCGGTACACCCAGGTGCACCGAGCACTGTACTGTACTACTACTGTAACAGTGCACTGCACTGCTACAGTGCACTACAATAGTGCACTGCTACAGTGCTATAGTGCGGACCAGTACCGGATGGTCCACGTACCGCTGACCTGTCGGACTGATATGTACCACCCATACCGGACGGTACGATTCGGTATGGCAGACCTTGGTATATATACATATATATATACATATACATATATATATACATATATATATACATATACATATATATATACATATATATATATATGAAAAATAAATAAAAAATAAAGCATTCCATGATTTGGTTGCAACTTAATAAATTAATGCCAAAATTTTATGCATAATTCAAAGGAAAGAAAAATACCAAAAATTATTAACAACAGAGGAAAGCATATTAAACATCTGAATTTGCAAAAAAATTATATTAAGCAATGCAAGCAGTAAAGAAATAAACATAGAATAAAGGAAATTATACACAACAATTCATGAACAAAATTTTCAGCAAACATCACAGTAATAGGTCAAGTATGCAAACTATTATTTATCTGACAAGGGAAATGCCAACTGCAATCGAACAAGGACTATAACATACAGTAATACAGTATCAGATTTCCATGGCATTTGGCAGTGAAAGTAATATTTTAATAAACAATCATCAAACAACGAGCATTGATGTTGGAGTTGCTTTCTATAGCATCTAATACACTCTTTTTAAAGAATACATATGCTCTACAGCATGACATTTTAAAAGTTTATGTTGAGAACTATAGTAACGAACCAGAGGCTGACCAAATTATGACCTTTGATACTTTAAATCTGCATCTAAAACTTTGATCAACTACAAACTAATCCTAGAAATAAAGTGCCATCCTCAAATTTAATTATCGCTCATCATACAATTCATTACAGCAGCAGCTATCAATCACAACCTCAGATTTCTAAACTCTATATAACAGTAACATGATATTTACCAAACATAACACCAAACCTGACTGGCATAATAAACATAGATAGGAAGGGCATCACATTACACAACGCCTAGTTCGTAGCAGCACCATGTATCTTTAAGCAAGTATTTAAATCTCAGCCCAATAATGATTTCAATAACTAGACGGACATGTACAACACTGGTAATACCGACCTAAACCAGTAAATAGCAGTCAATACTAAATGGCACAATTTACTTTTGATTCTTGCCTTTGTGTTTTTATTACTTACCAAAGCCACATCATAAAGACCAGGATGAG